CATCTGATCATCATTGTCTGGTGAGATTCTAATTTGTAAACCTTTTTGATGCCTAAATTTGCTTTTTAATATATGATTATCTGTTTGTTTATTGAACTTAAATGTATCTGTAAATTCAATTATCATAACGTTTTATTGGTGCTGAAATTTCTTCACTTAACCCTAATATGTATACACAAATCTGGTAGTAATTTTTATGACTATCGCCGTGGAATGGAGCCCCTAGTTATTCTTCAAAGTCAATGAATTTGAGTATTGTAATCAGAATATGAAATGGGCATCGGTGGTCAATGAATTGAGTTGAGAATGAACTATGACTTTTCAGATTTAAATCTCACTAGAGACAGTATAACACTAGGTGATTTCTTCCATATTTTGTAGCCTTGGTGTATTTGGTGGAAGGTGACACGTGTTTCGTGGAATTAGTTGTGGTGTGTGTAAGCTGCGTTAGACTATTATTGTTAAAAAACGTTTTTAAAAATGAAATGGGCTTGAATAGAGAGAAATGAATACTACGGATTAATATAACGAAGGCTTTGAAGATCTCTTACTAGTCTCTAGTCTAAAGTGTTCTATTATATTATTTGGAGAGCTAACTGAAGTTTGTGATGAAATCTTATGAAAAATATTGGCTTACTGGCTTTATCTGAGCGATTAAATTACTATATTTCCTATTTCAATAGCTAGAATGCACTTAGCACTATTGAGCTGATAAAGTTATTGGAACACTCTTTTTGATCTTGGAGCTGTGCAATTTGTGTGTGCTTCATACTTCCTCATACAGAAAGTATCATTGATCTTTATACAAAATCTTCTTTTGTTCTTCGATTTCAAGTTAATTGCAGATGTTACATCCTAAAGCATACTTTTGTCTTTATTTAACTTGATAAGAATAATATTTCTGATATAAAGGATTTTTGGAAATGAATATCTTGATCACACATTATATCATGCGTATACAAGGATCTTAAAAATGGATTTTGTTTAATTTTTTCAATGTTCTTTCCTTAATGTGGCCTCGAGAAGCCATGAACTAAGAAGTATTGACATGATGATAAATCAACGGACTAAAGTTAACTTTTATTTTTTAGCTCTTATGAAATTTGAATCATTTACTCTTCTTGATTTAATCAGGTTAAGCCACCTTTCCTTGGGATTTGCACCGTGTTTCTATCCATGTATTTGGGTCATTACACAGCAGAAGTCACGAGTCTTTCTACCAAAGCTACAGAGAAAGATGTCGATGATTTTTTCTCTCACTGTGGTGAAATTGAACAAGTAGAAATCATCAGGTAGCTTTTCGTTTATTTGAGTTTACCTGCAATTTCTGCTACAGCATAGTTGTCATTTCGAGCTGATTATTGTCGGTGCTGTAAATTTATGCTTGGCATTGTTCCCAGAATTTGTTTATCTAAGATGAAATAGTTGATATAAATGCTTAATCAATAGTATTCTGTTTGCATGTCTTATTGCAATTCTGCCTTGTGAAATATGTCAAATAGGACGTGTATTGCCACTCTTTTCCATGTGACTTCTTCAGAGCATTATGAAATGTCAACAAGAGCTTATGTGTTACTATAAATTCTGAGATGTTTGCTTAGAAAGAACAAGGTTAGCATCCGATAATGTTTGCTGTTGACAACCCATTGTGAGTAGTGAAGCATATCATCTCAATGTCCTGAAACTCACTATACGACATTCCAAACTTTCTTCGTCAAAAGGATGTTTAAACTTTAAATAAAGTAGCAGACGGAGAGAGTTCAATGCTATTAAACTGTGTGAGAAAAGATGGATGTTCTTTACCCTTCCTGATATCAAGTGTTGCCTTTATTGAATGCAGATTGAGTGAATATGCTTCTATAGCCTATGTTACGTTCAAGGATACTTATGCACTGGAAACTGCTATTTTACTCAGTGTAAGTTTCTGCTTTACTCCACTGTTATATTAGTTCTACTTAGCAGAAAGAACCTCCAAGGTGAATGCGTTACATATCCAATGCTGCATATCTGTATGGTAATGAGTCAAGTTTATATTCATCATCTCCATGATGAACATCAAAAAGATTTTTTTATTGGCTTGCTTAATGCTTATCGAAGCTTATAATTTCTTTGTTTAAGAATAGTCAATAATCTACCAAAATAGGTGCTTGCAGTAACTTTCTAAACTCAATCTTTAAAAGCATCAATGAAAAACATTATATTTATATCTACATTCCTTAGTCATGAATTTTCTTCATATTGTTTTGAACTTTTAATTAAGATTGTTCTCTCGTTCTTTCACTTATAAGTGTTTGAGTGTTTTGATTTCTAGCTGAACACAAGTTGACAGCCTTTGTGCAGCTACCTGGAAGGTCCTTTTAAAGAGATTCTGATGTGCTATCCTATTTGGACATGTTCTTATTAAATATATATTTATATCCGCAACAAATGCAATTTGGACTCCCTCGTTTAATCTGTTGTCGCAATTCTTTAAACCTAATCTGTCTCTTAATAATGTGATCAATTTTATCCCTGACACAATACACTATATTTAAAACCAATATCATTGAGTACATTACTACCTACAAGGTTTCTTTAACCTTGACCCTCATTCGCTTTTTCTCCTTTTTAGGAGAAAAGAAGACTCTATAAGAGCAAGCGATGCTATGTGAGATGAGCTTTGGTGGTAAACTATGTGACCACTACGTATGTGTCATTCTATTTGGTCTAGTTTAACAAGAGACCTACAATTCTGAGTGATAGCACGAAAGGGTACTTATATTCCAAAGACATTTGACTACTTGACATACCTTTAGGTTTTTATGGTTGCAACGAGTTAATATGATCTATCTTGTATTTTCACCATGTAAATATGTGATTGTGTATTTTGACTTTTTGAAAATGGTAATTAGGTAAAATATAACTATTTTGAATAAAGCTGCTAGTTATTTGTGTACCCACCAACCATAGATGAAGGAGATCATTGATTCTAGGCCATGGGAATATGCAAACTAATCTTTTTGATATATGTTTTTCTATTCACTGTCTCCATGTAGGGACGTCTTGGTACTTGTGCTTGAGTTGTATATACCAGTTGTCTGCTTTTATATTTGAAACTAATGTTTTAATTCATGGGAGGTGGCAGGTATCCCATGAATTAGGCAAGGTGCATGTAGCTGGCCTGGCCACCACGATAATAATAAAATTATTGTTTAATTCCATATCTAGTTTTCTCGTCATTGTGCTCTTTTTCTTCATTTTCCTTGTTCTCTCTGTTTTTAGTTGGGCAAAGTATGTGCATCGGGTGATGCTAGATTTATTCCTTAGGCGCTAGTACTGCATTCAATAAATTCATACAACTATTTTATGTTTCAAATTTGCACCTTTAAAATATTTCTCAACCTTTTAGCCTGGATTCAGGGATCCACTATACTAGATCAATGTGTTCATATATCTCGCTTGGAAGCCCATGTAGATGAAGACGATCCTTGGGATAACTATATAGATATGGTGGAGAATGGAAGCAGCTCTGCGGTAGGCTTTTCCCATTTGATGTCCTTTTCAGTTAAAGTTTACCTTATTTGTCTGGACAATCAACTCTCTTACTGCCTTAACATGAGAGTAAATGAAAATGAAAATGTTATATCGTTCATCGGTGAATTAATAGGAGTATGATCTCTGTGGCAGCTCCGCTTTGAGATTAATTTGCTCTCAAGGGATATTTTGCACGGGTAAAAGAATCCAATTTGTGAACTGAGCTTATCATGATTTTCTTTCTTTGGTGAGCTCTAGAGCTGAAGATATGTAATTAATATAGCTTATTTCACTATTCTTCTTTTCCATTCGTTATTCTTTCCTTGATAAAAGTTTTTGTTCATCATCAAAATTGTTGAGTTCCCTAAAATTCAGTTCGACTCTTGTTAGTTAATTTGGGGAAAGTTGATTCAGAAAGTTAAAAAACCTATTGACTGAGGTATGTTGGTGGAGATGTAAGAACAAATTAATTCTTCAAACAACTCACTTTTTTCTTTCTTTTTGTTTTTTCAGTTTCTTTTTTGTTCACTGTTCTTCACTTTTATTTTTATCCTTAGCTTCCCTCTTGCTTTACTTGAGCCTAGGGTCTTCTGAAAACAACCTCTCCACCTTTACAAGGTAGGGGTAAGGTCTGCGTACACACCACCCTCCCCAGACCGCACTTGTGGGATTACTTTGGTCAATGGTCACTCGATATGTTGTTGTTGCCTAGCTTCCCTGATGTCATTTTGAAATTTTTCTGTAAATTAGCAGGTCCATACAAATCAGTTTGTTTCAACTCCTGGAGAAGCTGTGACCATGGCACAGCAGGTAGTTGAAACCATGATAGTGAAGGGATATCAACTAAGTAAGGATGCGCTAACCAAAGCCAAAGCTTTTGATGAGTCTTATCATGTGTCATCTACTGCAGCAGCAAAGGTGGCAGATCTCAGCAACAGAGTTGGGCTTACTGATAAAATTCGGTCTGGCATGGAGACTGTTAAATGCGTGGACGAGAAGTACCATCTTTCTGAGCTTACCATGTCTGCTGCATCTTTTACAGGGAAAACAGCTGCAGCTGCTGCAACTGCTGTGGTTAGCAGTAGTTACTTCTCCAAGGGAGCTTTTTGGGTTTCAGATGTTCTGCATCGGGCTGCCAAGGTTGCTGCTGACTTGGGTAATAATGGTGTCAAAAAAGAAACAGCTCCGATAGAAATGAACCAAATTGGTAAATAGGGCTGACACAATGTCTGCCCACATGGAATGAATTTGTCCAAAGGTGTAAGCTTTCCATGGAGACATGAATGTGAATATGAACAATTTTAGCTATAGTTGAAGCAGAATGAGCAACATGGTGTATAACAGGATCCATACTTATGGTAATGTGTTGGTATTTTGCAGTCATTACCGTGGTTTAATCAAATTTGATTTCCTCTACTCACGCGAGTACAATGTAAGTAATACGCTTGATTGGATTACAAGTTGATCATACATGTCATGCTTTTCAGTTTTCAGTGAGCTGGTATTTTATCATTCATTGATCTACGTGTTATTGACAAAGGTAACTTGCGTCCATTCTGCAATCGCACACATACTACTGCTATGAATTTGCCTAGACTTGCAAGTCCTAGAGCCAGAAAAACTGGGGAAGCTATTGGTAATTTCATGCCAGATGCTGGAACAGTATTTGTTTGAACCTAATCTTATCAACCATGTTTCACAGTTGGATAATTGTTACTATTATACTGCTGCTACTAATGTGCTGAATAGGCAGTAAAAGTTGGATAATCTGTTGGCTAGATGATATTTGCATTAGTTTAGATGCTTGAAGCCTTTGCCTAAAAGAAGGTTCAGGACCTAGAATCTTAGTGCTTAGAATTATTTTGCATATGCATACATAGTTTGAGCTGAAAATAATGCTTCAGTTGAACCTGTAAAACTCGCCTTAGAACTGCTCCTAAGTCCTACCCATCAGCTTAGGCCTGAACTTTGATCGTCTTCGTCCTTGTAAATAGATAGCCCCATACAAGCGGATGAATGTTAATCCCAACAAGTCAGGCATTGTATAAGCCCATTCTCGTTGCAATCTGAGCATCGTTGGAAGCCACACTCATCTTCTTCATCATACTCTGCTTCATAGTATATTTTACAACTTCCATAGCATGTCTCACATGGCACAAACCTAACATCTCTACAGCCTTCACAAACTCCATTTTCTACCCTTTCACAGCTTTCTACTACCTTCTCAAGCTGTCTGTTTTCGTCCATTCTGCATATTTCATCAACCCCACCAATGTATTTTCTCCCAGAAATGCCCTTGGCAGCAAAACCCATCCTCCGTATCGTTCCCCTAGTAGTAACTCTTTCAACTCCTCCTTAAACCCTGCATGCATCGATACATCTCTTTCATCGATCTTAACACATAGTCCCTTCAAAATCATCCGAACATGACAACAATTCTCATACGTTTTCCTCACTCCTCTCAGGCTTGTCAAGTATAAAATCACTTTGTCTTTTTTCTGTTGAACCAATTTAAGCTGAGCAACTCCACAGTTTGATTTCAGTCGGGGCGTATTGTCCAAGACATGGAAAGAAAAGTTACAGACACGATGAGGAGATGCAAGAAGATTAGTATCTTTAAGATCTTCCATCAATTCCTAAACATTGACTCTCTCTGGCTCACACCACCAGGAGTAGTTGTAATTGTAGTCTTAGGAATCACTTCTGGGATTTCCTCATTGATCATTTGAGACCATGTCTTTCTCTCAATCAGCCCCATTTCGAACTCTTTATCAATGTCATCTTTTTTTTTTTAACAATAATTCATCATCTTCGATATGTTGTTTCATTGGATAAAGTCTCGAAGATCCTAATGTTGAGGAAGTGAGAGAGACCAGTTGGATGCTACACTCTTCTTCATCGATAGGAATATGTTTGTTCATGAGTAGCTTCGATGCACTGCAGAATAGTGTCCGTTGCATTTTTGGCATTACTTTTGGCTTTGAACTAGTGCAACCCATTGTTAAATAAAAATCCAGCCTAGAAATTGATTTGAGTAGAAGAATAGAGCAGTGGATGGAAAGAAATCAATCAAGATTGGGTAAAGATTTCGAGTGATTAATAAGTAGCCAAATTGAGGAATTTCAAATGTTTTAGAGATAAAAACAAGAAACAAATTATTTCTGTTAAATTATCGTACTCCCCTTATACGTCCGGTTCTTTTTTCTTACTTCCATTCTATACGAGCTAATGCATGCATTATTTTTTCGAATATAGTTTACGAAGAGAGTCGAATGTAAGAAGAAAAGGAGAGTTTAACGTGTCTTTTCATTTAATGAAATGATGGTATATTTTACCATGATGTATTAAGTACTACACTTAATTAATTAGCTATGGCAAGTAAGCCATTTTAACTTGGGTTTACAGATGGATTAAGATAGACTTTTAATGTTTTGTATTAGAATATTTATGTCTTTTTGGATTATTAATTCCACTTCTTATAAAAGAAATAAAAACTCTCCACTTGTATATTATAAATAATTACCATCTAAATAACATGATATTATCAACAACAAAAAAAAAATTAAACATGAAGACATACTATGTCAAGGTTCAAAATCAAGAATATAAAATTATGAAACCATGTGAGAAACAACCCATGATCATAGGGATCATGGAAGATTTGATTTTGAATTTCCAAGTAGCAATTTTTATATTATTTAAAAAAACGCATTGCATGTACTATAACCACCAAGAACCGATTAAATTTCAGATTATGTAAGATTTCTACCTATTTAAGAAATAAATTAACCATTTACTGAATAATTATCCTAAAAAGGGACAAGACGCTAAATTTACTAGGTTGCGCATCAATATTATTTTAAATGAATCAATCATTTGTAGATATGGAATGTCAAAACAAAAGCCTAAATTTAAGTTTTACTTTAATGTGTTTTTATATTACAATTTAAAATTTATGTGACGTAATTTAAATTGATAGAAAAATAAAAAAAATGTAAAAAGAAAAGACGGTATATTTTTTTATCTATTATATCCTAACTTTAATGAATAAATCGATTTTGGACTTTATCAGATATAAAATGATTAACTCACTATATTAATAATTATTTTTAATGAATATGTCAAGTAAAAAAAGACGAGTAAATAGGATAAAGGGAATATTAAGGATAAAGTAGGTCCTTTTTTTTTTTAATGTTAACAATAACCAAAAAAAAAAGTTTTAAAAATAACGAACAAATAAAATTGAAGGGCAAAAGTATCTAGAGATTTAGCACCAAAATAGAAAAAGGAAATCCAAATTGTTGGCAATGCCAGCCCTTAGCTTTTTAAACTCTTTTTATGGAAAGGTGAGTAATTTGAGAATCACTATTATTCTTTCCATTTTAAAATAAATATTATTTTTATCTTGAGCATATCTTTTCAAAATATCTAAAAGCAAAATATAAATATAAATACTTTAAAATTGGTAACTCTATAATAACTTTTTACTGAGATAAATTTCAAAAAGTGAGAATAAGAGTCGACTGATGACAGAAAAATTGCTTTATCTCTTCTACAAAGAGTTCTATCTCCTAGGTTTGAATTCCTTCCGGAGATAACAAATCATCTTTCTTTAAGATAGTAGTTAGGTATATGAAATTGAAGTAAGAGTCCTTCTATGAGGGAGTTTTGCTTCAAGGATTATGGATCGGCGGGGCGAGGGTCATAGCGAGTGAATTAATTTGTGGGAGTATACGTGTACGGATATGCTAATCATAAAAGTAGAGTAATTAGGATTGAACTGAGAGTTCTATTTAATTTTATTTTTTTTAAATTTAAGAAATGTATCATTAATATCTTTTCAATTGTTGAAAACATCATTTACTTTAAATTAAAATAAGACGATAAAATCACCACTTATTTTAAATCGAAGAAATATGGCCCAACCACATGCTTTATTCAGATTCTGCGGCAGACCATAATATTCATCATCTTCTAATTATTACTTCTATTTAATTAACTCTATCAAATTAAGATCATCACTTGCCAAAAAAACCATTTACTTCACACCAAACCTGATCAATTCAATTTCACTAATTAGTTTCCTTTGGATTCTCATGTAGTTGACTTCAATAATGGTAACTAATTATTATATTTTTCTCTCATTAGAAGAATATAACTTTGTTCAGTCTACTAACAAATTGACTTTATGAAATACATCGATCTAGCCGACCTCACTGCAACAATTTTATCAAAAACTTTTAGTGTATATGGATAATAATAATAATGTGTATACATATCAAACATAGCTTTTTAGAGATATAAATGACTAATGTACAATTACTTCATTAACCTATGTCCGAAATCTCAGAGACACACTTAAATTATACTAAGATCCTATTATCCTCTGAACTTATTTTATTAATAATTTTTCTCTTTTCGGTCTACGTGACATTATCTTATGGGCCCAACGCTGATTGATTTTATTTTTTCAAGTTAGTGTCACGTAGGCTGAAAAGGGGTAGAAAATTACTTATAAAATAAGTTCAGGGGGGTTCTAGGACCTTAATATAGTATAAGTATGTTTCTGGAAATTTCGAACAAAGGTTGAAAGGGTACTTGTACATTTTTCCGAGATACAAAATAAAAATTTTGAACATTTTTTTTAAAATTTCTAATTTTATCGTCAACTCTAGCCTGTTTAATGATTGTATTTTCTGGACATATAATATATACTTCAATAACCAACGAGATATAGCAAGTAGCTAGTTTTATGATTTTAGTGCTGCTATAACAGATAAATTTTAGTGACTTTAATCAATCCCAAGAGTTTGTAATATTAAACAATTGATACAGTAGCTTCTTATTATAATTTATTTAAAATGCGTAAAAAAAGTTGAATTGTGATCTAGATACCAAAAAGCACAAGCTATAGAAAGAATAAAATAAAAGGACATCACATTGCAAGTAAGGAGAATATTTGTGTGATAATAAATCTAATAACATTTCACGTTATGTGTTGTTAATTCTTAATAAAAAATAATTAATAAAACATCGCTGGCTTTCCACTGTTTCCATCTTGCCACCCCATGTTAATGTTCCCTTCATCACCTTCCATGTTCCCACTTCAAAACCTCTCCTCCATTAGCCCTCTTGACTTATTATTATCGCCCGTCTTGTCCGTCGTGGATTCAGAATTTTCATTAACTGAGCTATCTTGTATTAAGGAGTTCATTCGAATTCCCTTAAAATATTATTTTATGTATATATTAGATGTCAAACTTTCTTTGGCTAATTTTGAACCCCTTATTGAAAATTCAGGCTCCGCCAACAGTTCGTGTGTATCTCTACAATTTTGAACCCCTTATGAAAATCCTTGCTCCATCAACTGTTTGTGTGTCTATTTCTACAAATTTTGTGCCGCTTATATAAAAATATAATACTTAAGGTAATTTTTGAATCTCTAAACCGTTAAGTCAACTTCTAGTCTCGTGTTGCGGAGATTCGAAGTGTCTATATACATACTAAAAACCCTTATATATACCGTGTAATTATTTATGAGGAATTTGGATAAATACCCTCGCCCCGATGCACCCTAATTAACACCCCTCAAGTCTCCATTAGCCATCACCCCCCACCCCCACCCCCAAACCCAACCCAACAAAAAAAAATTGGAAGAAAAGTTTTAGATATATGATATATATATATAGTTGTTGATGACTTTAATTGGTTTACTTTGTGTATAAGATTATCCTTGTAGATATTATAACATGCTTTTTAGTAGTAGTACAGGTACTATGGGTTTTGTTCCTGGAGCACCTGAAGACAATGAACTCCCTCCTCCCTTCCCTAGTGTTTATCCTCATCAAGAATTTCAAGGTTTTATATTTCTCCCGTTATTATCTTTACGTATTTCATTTACGTGTGATATCAGTGACGAATTCAAAATTTAGAATCAATGAATTTTGCTCTTTATATATGCGTTATTTAATTACATATTTATATATAGTCAATGTTAACTTTAGAGAATTCTAATGATTTTTACTTTTGTAGAGGCGAATTCAAAATTTATCCTTCATATATTTTAACCTTTATTTTTTAGCTTTTATTATTAGATCATAATTATTTCATTTTTTGGAATTTTAGGCCAAGCTAAGTATAAGCGGATTCAGAATTTATACTTTTGATGTATTCAACCTTTATTTTTTTAAAACATTGAACCCATAAGACTTTTAAAACTATAAGTTCAAAATGAGTCTAGATCCATAACTATATGTGTGATTGAATGACAAATTAATTTATTTTGGACGTGGCGAATACAGGAATTTCATCTGTGTTAATGAGGAGAGCCATGTCATTCGACCATCAAGATTCGCGAGCAGACGATATTGACATGTCGGATGACGATGGCTCTTCACAGTTGCTAGGTGAGAAGAAGAGGAGATTGAATATGGAACAAGTGAAAGCACTTGAAAGAAGTTTTGAAATTGGTAACAAACTTGAACCTGAGAGGAAAATGCAATTGGCTAGAGCTTTAGGGTTGAAGCCAAGGCAAATTGCAATTTGGTTTCAAAACAGAAGGGCAAGATGTAAGACTAAGCAATTGGAGAAAGATTATGAAATATTGAAGAGACAGTGTGATAAACTCAAGTCTGATAATGATGCACTCAAGACTCAAAACAAGAATCTTCACTCTGAGGTAAGTATAATTAAAAGATTTCATGTTCGAATCAACAGTACTAAAAAAAAAATTAAACTATTTTTTTTTGCCTTAATTGATAACTTTCTATATCACGCTATTAAACTAAACACTAACAATCTAGTTGCACCTGTCAGTTTATATAACTTAAACTTCTGATAAATGAATGGAGATTTAAGTTACAAATCGATAACAATAAAGAAGGGTTAAACTATTAGTGTTATTTGACCTCATATAAAATAAATATTTTAGTTTTATTTTCAGATTTATAGATATATCATGCAATCATAAACACCTTTTATTGTATGTAATTTTATGAAATAAGCAGTTCACACTCCACAGCAATAAACTAGTATAGTTCCTGACTCGCTCGATTCATATTAAGTGAATTGTTAAGAATAATTTAAAAAGAATTGTTAATATATTTTTTTTTATCCATCATTTAATAAAGTTATTAATTACTTTATATTTTCTGGAAATTTAGTTCAGGAATAATCACAAGGTAATAATGGAAAGTACTATTTCATTTATGTCATTAAAAATATCTTTTTCAAAGGTTGTGTAGTAATTCACCGACTTTTTTCTTTTGTTCCACAGAGAGTTATTAGTCCCGTTTTTTCCTTGACTATACGAGCTATAAGAAAAGCGCGAATGACATTGAAATTTTTTTAAGAATTAATATGAAAATTTATAGAAAAATAAGTTTTATACAGATTTTTATATTAATCTCTAGAAAAATCGCTATGTGCACGCACAATTCCCAATGTTGTAAATTTTAATATTTGTGATGGGGATGCAGTTGCAGTTACTGAGTCTGAGGAACAGAGAATCAACAGGAGGAGGTACACCAATTTTGTTTAATCTAAACAAAGAAAATGAAGGATCGAATTGGAACAACGGAAGTGGTGATGAGAATAGTACGATAATAGATGTTAATCTTGGAAGAACATCATCAACAAACAGTCCACATAACAACAACAACAACGATCATGTTTTTCAAACACCTAATTTTAAAATAGAAGAACAAACTCAATCTCATGATGTACCTGAAGAAGGATTTTGCAACATCTTCACTAATGTTGAAGATCAAACAAACTATTGGCCATTGCCAGTGCAGCAACATTTTTACTGAAACTTTTTTTATTCAAATTTTAAACTTTGGTTTTTGTTCTTGTTTGTTGATCATCTTATGGCAATTGTTTATTAATTGATTGTGTGTATAGTGAAATGCACATATGTTATCGTACCTTAGTATTTTAAATTTTCATTATTGATGCATTGTTTTTTATTTGTTTTTTTGTAAGAGTGGACCACTAGGCAGGACACATTAATTAGAATAATATGTCTAGTAGATAATTAAAAAAAAGATTCATGTTCTGAGCAATATAAGGAACTTGTGGTGTGGGGTCAACTTCTCTGGCTGTGGGACCATTACCTTATTATAAAATTTGCAAACAGAGAAGAAAAAAAAGATTCTCTCCTTACATTTTTCTTTATGTTGCTATCTTTTTCTTTACCTATATATTCTGTTGGTTAATAATACTCCCTATACTTTCCTTTTGTTTTACTTCATGTGACAGATATTTGCTAGATCGAGTATAATATAAGAAAAACAAATTAGAAGTATGAAGTAAATATATATAAATATCAAAATTGCCCTTAATTGTCAAAAATTAAAAAGTAATGGTAATGGAAACGAAGTATTAAGAACAACAGTAAGACTTGTGATATTATGATCGATGACTATATTATGGTAATGGTAAAAGGCACATGTTGTTCTAAATGATCAAAATTCTAACTACTCCTGTATTTATTACTTGGTTAAGTTTACAGCACTACAGATGTATAAGCAATAGCAAGTGCTGTCCAGAGAGACTTCAAAATTGCAGTGAGAATTAAAGGGAATATAACTTTATAGAAAAATTCACACAATTGGATACAACAGATCATATGTACAGAGTCTCTCATAGTCGAGCAACAAAACATCAAGGTAAAGAAACTCAGAGCTCCAGTTCTCCTAACATTACATAAAAGGACCAAATTGTACTACATTCATTATTCATGAAGTGAAAACACTGAAAAACATCTTAGTTTGATGCAGACAACTCGACCAGGAGAAAGCCATGAAATGTATTTAGCAACAGAGATGTCAGTCTGCTGTCCAGCTTTGCTCAACTATTTCACGCACCTTCCTGTTGTAGTCGCGCTTGTTCTCACTAAATAGACGTGCAGCTTCTGAATTAGCTGGCGAATTGGGGTTTGGATCACTGAGTAAAGACTGCACCAGGATAATCAACATATCAACGACTTACCAGTACAAAAAGCTACTGACTCACTAAATAGTAATACGTCAAATAAAATGAACAAAGGGAAAATAACATAGCAATTAAGTAAATACATGGAAGTTGGAACTATTGAGAGTATTTCTTACATAAGAATAGAACATTGCTTATAAGAAAATGAAGAAAGACTTTATTTTGTGGACTAGATTATCAAAACTACATGCGCTTGTTCAATAATAAAATTCTTAGTCTACTAATAATCTCAACAGAGAACTAAAAACTTATTGATCGGCATCGAAAATAGTGTCACTTGGGGATACATCTATGATACCTTAAGGGCAACAAACAAGGACCAGTCTACTTTAGAGCATTTCTAAAGATGCTTTTTTTTTAATTGACAAGGGCAACCCACAGCCACTACCCTTTGGGTGTGCATAGGGTAAAACCCCGGTGAACGACAGGAGAGGTGACCCGCACTAGGCAAGCCCCTTGCTTTCGCTAGCAAAGGGTTAGATTAATCCATCAGGTACCTGTTGCATTATTAGATGATCTGAAATAATAGAGACATAGGTTCTTTTCATAGTATACTCCCCTTGCCTCCCCAGGGGACAAATCCAAACAGAAAAATGGGAAAGGAACGGGAACTCGTTCAAATGTGTGTTCATTAGCAACAGATAACACCAGCCTACTGACCAATGAAAGCATTATGTCCTCAATGGTGTGATGGACTATAATAAAACCTGGCACCAGAAAGGAGGCATGAAGTGTCAATTAGAACATCTTATATACCTGTATTGAAGTAAGTATAGCAGCTACATCATATATAGGACTCCACTGATTTTGCAAGATGTCCAAACAAATACTTCCATCAGCATAAACTGAGCAACAATAAGCAAAGGCATAAGCGATAAGCAAAACTATAATTTGCATGCAATGCGAAGAAACACAAGACAAGGTAGTATGCAATACCTGGAAAAAAAATTTAACGCAAAAACACAGATTGGTGTTGGAGATGTTAGGTTAGCTGAATATGCTAAAACAGATGGAAACTAGAAACAATTGGAGTCAAAATGATTACATATATTCATGAAAAGTGCAAGTAGCACATAAAGGATAAACAAGAGGAGGTCCCTTGAGATGGTTTTGTCATGTCTGCCTCCAAATGTGCACCTCAGTCATGAAATCATGATGGTCGATATTTAAAGGGGATGAGATAGACCTAAACGTACATGGAAGTTTTTTAGAAAGTCTAATGGTAATAATCATTTGGAATTTATGCAAACTTAGAAAAAAAAATAGAGTACAGTGGAAGAAAAAGATCTTTATAAGCAATACCAACTGGTTGCGATAAAGACTTAATTTTGTTAGTCCAAATATTTGTCAGGATTTTTTTTGATCTTATTGAATGATTCGTACATCAATAGAAATGAGAGAGAACTTATAAGACGGGCCTAAAAGGAACAAAATGGATAGTAAAGATTTATACGGCATATCCCAACTAGCTTGCAATTGAGGCTAAATTATGGTTGTTTTTGCAAACGGCCAGACAATGCTGCAGTGAATTGCACTAACCAACCTTGCCCTCCCATACATAACACAATAACAGTAAACATACACAAACACACACATATATGCGTAAAAAAAAAAAGGAAGAACATAAATAAATTTTATCCTCTCATAAGAAGTTACATGGTGAATGGTATTACCCACTCTGCCACTAGTAAGGATTAGAAGAAAGAGGAGAAGAGATAAAAGGAGGGGGGAGGGGGGTAATTTCATTTGAGCTACTTACTATTTGGATGGAACATTCTGGAGACGAAGTGCACTCTTGGTGGCTTGTTAGGATAATCCTCTGAAAATTGAAGTGTCATCTTAAACGTACCTATTAATAACATTTATAACAGAACAGTCAAAGTTAGGTGAGATATATGTGAATTATAGAAGCAATTGTCCAAACAAAATTAGCCAAAAATCTGATGCTTTACTTTCTTTGAAGAGTTTTAGTGGAAGATGAAAAGGAAACAACAAAAAGGTAATAACGACAAAGATCAACGTGAAACTAGAAAGCTACTAAAGAAACAGTGAGCAATAAAAAGTGGGCCAATTGCTCGAACCACCTGCATAAGGCTATAAAGACTATTTATAGCAGCAGAGGCACTGGTTATGAACCAGCCATGAATCCTACAAAATCTTCTTTGCTGGGAGGATAGAACAAGAAAATCCCAGAATTTTAAGGCACAAAGCAACATACACAAAGATTCCTGAATTATAATTTCGCAACTCACACTCGACCATATCCACACAGTATTTGTTCAGAGCTGCAGTAAAGATGCAGCTAACACTCGGATATGCCAGTTAAAGGGCACTTTACTTGTTCATAGAGCACTATTTACCAAAACGAAAGCAGGAAACAGCAATTGCCAAGGCATAACTAAGTCACAGGAAGCATAGAAGTGATAGTCAACAAGAATGCTTCAATTCATATAACAAACCAAAGGTAGTCAATAGGCAATGTTGCCTCACCTCCATCCCAGGGAGTATCATCAGGGCTGCATTTTAAGGAAGAAAAGAAAATCTGTAAGTACAAAGATACAACAGTTTGGGAACAGGTGAATCGCTATAGTCCAAATCATTATGAAACCATGATTTTCATTCAAAGCCAGATGTCATACCCGAATATAACAGCATTCCATAACATTATATTGCTATCATAAGGTGCACCACTGATGCCAGCAGGAGGATCCTGCTGTAACCGCTTGAAATCCCTCATCAATCTCTTCTTCGCCGGTGTCGACATCCTCACCACGTAACTAAAAATGTAATTCAGAAACACAGGAAACTCAAGAAAGAACTTTACTCTCCAAGAACAAAAAGACAGCTAAGAAACATAACACAATTTCTCCTTTGTGGCCAATAGGCAGATTCAAGATTTTAAGTGAGTGGTTACAGAATACCACTTGCGCTCAGGGGCGTATGTAGCTTTAAGATACCGGGTTCATATCAACCCGGTAATTTCAATACTAAAGTACAAATTTATGTGTAAAAATTTACTAAAATTATAATAAATAGAAGATACGAACCCATAACTTAAGAAGTATAATGCTAAAAAACTTAGAGATTGAACCCATAGATTTCTGTGGCAAATGGACATGAACTTCACATAAGTACATACACTCTCAGTCTCAATTTGTTTAGAGATCTTTTTTGAAAAATATACCTTTCCAAAATTTGGAACATACTTAGTTTTAACTCCCATTTATCACTGAAATTACTTGTTGAATGCCCCATATATATAAAATGAACTTTCTGCAACAGGGGCTTTGTTTGGCACATGGATCTTTTAATGCTTAGTTAGTTTGCGTCAAACAAACAACTTCTTTCTTAAACTTGGTTAAGTTAAACAACTATATAAAAAAAATCAAAAGGCAGGGAAAGTCAATACATAATGCACATTTAGTAAATAAATACATATACATCAATACTTTTTTTTCCTAATTTTTCAACTATATAGTTCCAGTAAACACAATGAGAACCTTGCCAGCTGCCAATCTGCTCCAATCAAATGCTAGAAAATTAACAACAAAATACTCAGTGAAATCCGACTGGAGAGTTCATTTCTAAAATATTCCAAGGCAAACAACAAGTACAAATCAATCGAAGCAATAACTAATAGTATCGCATAAACAAAAATCAAGAGTCAATTTCACTAGGGTTGATCTGGAGAAAAAAAAACGCACAGCACATAAACCAATCACATGAATTGATGCAGAAAAGCAGATTGATTTACCTGAGAGCAAACGCAGCAACAATTTCAGAAGGAAAATGGAGAGGATTTGTATATGAGCTTCGATAATCGAGCGCCCCTGTGCAAAATCCGCCTAGTTAAAAGAATGAAAAGATTTGGAGTTTGCGTGATGTATAAGCTGCCAAAGCGGTGTGTGCTGTTTGACACTACACCTGTGGGTGCGTTTCAATCTACGGAGTTTAGAGTACATTAGTTTTGTATTACTTAATTTTTCTAAATTAATAATTTATGTGTATTTAGTAAAAAAAAAAAACGATAGCAAAAAGATAAAATTTAAATTAAAACTACTGAGGGCACGGTAATTTCATAGAAGTAGTAGTCACTTTTTAAGTTGAACGTGAAATTTATGAAGTTGGAGTTGAAGATAGAGTTACGTTTTGACTAAACTTCTTATAATAAGGAGAAATGAGTGTTTTATTCGAAAATATTAAGATGGAGTTGAAAAAATTTTTAAATTATAAGTTATTTTTAGAGTCTAACTTCAAGTTTAATTTGTGATTTTCATGATTAAGTACTGATTTCTCAATAAAATGAAAAGTTATTACGTAAAAATGAATACTTTCATGATTGGATGGATCCTAAAATTAGTGATTTATCAAGAGACAATGTCACATCTTAGATGAATTTCATATCAAAATAAAAGAAAAAAATATAATAATTTTTTTAAAAAAATTCTAAATAACAATCTTCGCAAAAAAAGCAAGCTAAAAAATAATGTCTAACTCACCTAAAAACTACTTTAGAAAGAAAGAATTATGAGATCTCTTTTGCCTTCAATTATTACCCAAATGTTAGTACCACAAAGAGTACTTTTCACAAGCATTATTTGACACTAATGAAGGAAGAAAATCTAGCTAAAAGCATAAGCTAAAATGTTTTGCTTGGCTAAAATAAAGTTTTCCTTTATGATTT